TAACTAAAATGTCATTGGCAATTGATAGCTGCTGATAATGGAAGAGTCAATATTCTTTAAACATGTGACCTCTGATGGGTTGATCATGACCCAATGGAAGGCCAAACACCTAAGTACATATAGTCAGCATCAACTCTATTTGATGATGTTTTAGTCAATGTTCTACTGTTGTGAAGAGAAACCATGGCAAAACCACAAAAACATTTAATTAGGGCTTGCTTACAGTTTCAAAGGTTAGTTGATCTTCATCAGGAAGTATGGTGGCACACAGGCAGATGTGGTGATGGAGAAGTAGTTGAGAATTGTCTAGAGTCTAGATTGGCAGGGTCCAGGAAGAGAAAGACACTAGGCCTGGTATGAACTTTTGAAACCTCAAAGCCCACCACCAGTGACATACTTCCATGAACAAGACCACACTTTCTAATTGTTTAACATAGTGCCACTCCTTAAGCTTTCAAATCTGTGTCTATGGAGAGCGTTCTTTTTCAATAAATTTATTTATTCATTTATTTTATATCCCAGCCACAGTTTCCTGACTCTCTTCTCTTCCCAGTCCCTTCCCTACACATACCCCCACATACACTCCTCCTCCATTTCTATTCCGAAAAAGGCAGGCCTTCCACATATATTAACAAAACATGGCATAGCAAGTTGCAGTAAGACTAAGAACCTCCCCTTGTATTAAGACTGGAAAGGCAAACAAATATGAGGAACAGGGTCCCAAAAGCCAGTAAAAGATTCAAAAACAGCCCTTGTTCCCACTCTTAGGAGTACCACAAGAAGACCAAGCTATACAACTGTCACATATATGCAGAGTGCCTAGGTCAGTCCCAAGCACAATCAACTAACCTGGTCTCATAGAGGACCATTCATATTTAAACTATCACAAGTGAACTTTAAACAATAAATACAGTTGAGGGAAAAAAACAAGTTGGGTGGTTTGGGGAGGAAAAGTGGAGTCTGGGAGAAGTGGGTAAGGAGTGACTATGATCAAAGCACATTATATAAAATTCTTTGAGAACTAATAAAAGAAAAAGAATATTATATAATGAATAGGAAAAAGGATGCACACTTATAATATAATGTTATATTTGACTAAAAAACAAAGGAAAAAATTTACAATGAAATCTGAGCCTCAAGTTTTTTGTTATCTTTTTTATTCAAGTTTTTTTTCATTTTACATAACAACCACAGTTCATCCTCCATCTCATCCTCCTGCACACCCTCCACCTTTCCCTAACCCCACATCCCGTCCACTCCACAAAGAGGGTAAAGCCTCCCATGGGGAGTCAACAAAGTCTGGCTATCAAGTTGAGGCAAGGCCTAGCCCCTCTCCCTTGTATCTTAGGCTGAGCAAGGTATCCCTCCCTCTATAAGGAATGGGCTCTAAAAAGTCAGCTCATGCACTAGGGATGAATCCTGGTCCCAGTGCCAGTGGCACCACAAACTGCCCAAGCCACACAACTGCCACCCACATTCAGATGGCCTAGTTCGATCCTATCCAAGTTTCCTAGCTGTCAATCCAGAGTCCCTGAGCTCCCACTAGCTCACATCAGCTGTTTCCTTGGGTTTCTCCACCATGATCTTGATCCCTTTGCTCATATAATCCCTCCTCTCTCTCTTCGACTGGACTCTGGGAGCTCAGCCCAGTGCTTAGCTGTGGATCTCTGCATCTACTTCCTTCAGTTACAGGATGAAGGTCCTATGATAACAGTTAGGGCAGAACCCTAAGAGACACATGAATGGATCCCCCTAGGGAGGGAAAATAGATAAGATCTCTTGAGTGAATTGGAAGGTTGGTGGGGGAGAGGCGTGGGGAGGAGACCATGAGGGAAAGGAATGGTCAAGTTAGAGGAGGGACAGAGAGAGGGAGCAAGGAAAGAGCCTCAACGTTTAGCTAAAGGAGAAGCAAATAGCCACATGCTATCAACAAATACACTGGAAAGAAGGTGAAAATATAGTATAGAAATCAATAAAGTACAAATTAAAAACAAAATTGCCCTGCAAAATGATAAATCATAGAGGCCTGGAGAGAAGGCTTGGTGACTAAGGGTGTTTGTTGTCCCCAAGGACCTGAATTTGGCTCCTAGCATTGACAAGGAGGCTCTTAATCACTGTAATTCCTGACCCAGGCCATCTGACAACCTCTTTGGACATCAAGCAAGCCAGTGATGCACATTTTGCACAAAGACATGCATCCAGGCAAAGCACCTGTACACTAAAAATTAAAACAAAAATAAATCTTAGCTGAAAGATGAAAAATAACCAAAGTACACTTTATGGGCACATGGAAATGTAATGTTAAATTTGTACTTTGCACAATTAATATGATATTAGAAAAGAATAACCTGAGGACATTTACTTATCAAAACCATATTCATATTTGATGTAATACTGACTTGAAATGCCAAATGTGTAGCATATAGGTGGACAAACTGTATTCCTGGCAGGCTTCAAAGTATTGAAAGGCCTGCACCCACATCATGAACACTGGCTTATAGCCAAACAGTGTGTCATCTCACACAATTGATCTTCACCTATGGCCATGATTAAATAAGATGTTCCTCTTAATTATGAATGAATTCTGAAATCTTTACAAATAACATGAAATTAAGTCTGGTATTTTTCAAAATAATCCACTAAATTGAGGAAAAGCATAGAATTTGTGGACCTCTATCTAAAACATAAATTGATAATAGATGTGTATATGTACCCAACACTGTCTAATTTATGTAGCTTTGAATTTTCTCACAAACTAGTAATCAAAATTGTCCAAGCTTTCAAGAGAAGAGAAGCTACATACTATGGCAAAATATTTGCCAAAGTCAGATCTGGTAAAAGATTGTCACTAAAACTATCCAAAGAACTCTCAAAAATCAGAAATAAGAAAGGAAACAGACCAATTTAAATTTAAGCAAACTCTCTGAACAGGGAAAAAAATCATCAAAGAAGATACACAAACAAATGGAAAATACATATTTAAAAGTGCTCAGCATCCTATATCAGATGATTAAAACTTAGAACAACATGATGGTTATTCATACCTAAGACAATGGCCTAAGTCCAAAACAGACAATAGCAAATGTGTGTGAGATAAAAGCAACAAAAACACACATTAATTGCTTTTGGGTATAGGTGACAAACCTTTTTCAAACCTGTAAATCCGCTGAACAGTTTCTTCTACTAAACATGTGTCTTACATACAATGCAGAATCATAGTCTTTGAAATTTAGTCACATGAGTTAAAATACTTAAGTATACACACACACACACACACACACACACACACACACACACACACACATACACACACACACACACACACACACACACACAAAATGCCAAACTTGGAAATCACAGGTATGTTGCTTTAGTTAGGGTTCTCTAGAAGAATAGAACTGACATAATGATTATTCATTAGAGTTGCTTGCAAGCTGCAGCCTGACTAGTCCAAAAACGACACACAGGAAGTGGGCCTCTTTCTGAGGGGATGGACAGCAGTAGCAGGAAGGGTAAGAAGGTGGTTTTAAGTCTCAGCTCTTAGCTACTGCTCTGACCTCTTGGGCTTTTAACTCTGCATTTGGCTCTCTGTTTCTTATTTAATAAGACTGTTACATCTATACTTATATATGATATTAAATATTTGCCCAAATCCTTTAAATGTTCAAACCCAAAGTTAACCTGTATGTAAGCTAAGGATTTTTGTGATGATGATGATGAAGTGAGTATAGAATCCTCATTATTATAACAAATGTACCTTCTTTGGTAGAAGAGGAAATATAGATGTTGGGGGACACATGCATACAATGCAATATGATCATATCAACTCTTCATTCTCTCTTCTGAATTCCTCCATACACCCTCCAATATACTTCCCTCCCCACTTTCTCTTTTTTTAGATAACCTCCTAAATCCAGTTCATACTTACAACAAGAAATCCACAGAGTCTATTTAAAGGGCAAAATAACTTATTAAGGGGAATAACTCACTGTACAGACCAGAATTGACAGAGGTTCTGGAATACTGTTCCCGCTGCCTGAATTAGCACCACATCTGAGTCTCACAAGGGAGTGAAGAGAGAGATGCCTATGTGCATCTCAGGTCTTAAGTGTCTGGGAAGCCATGCCCCAGGGGCATGTACTTCAAGGTCATAGGCAGGTGGAGCAGTTACCTGCTGCATCTTGAGGGGAGGTGCTTCAAGGAAAGACAGAACAGCTAGCAACTACATCTTCCCCTTTTGTCTAAATAAAGAAGTTCTAACCTATTACAAAACTATATACAATAGGAACAATTATCAAGTATTGTACAGGAGAGAGGAAAAGTAATAACCTAAACAGAAATAGAAATGTAACCAGTAAGGAAAACATCAAACAAGAAACACATTAAAATCCAGAGATGTCCAGAACATAGGTAAATGTCATGTTACAGAGATTATTCCAATAGCTGTCCTATCCTGAAGAATCTGAATCTAGTACTTAATATGTTCTAGCTAAGATACAGGAAGGTTGTAACTGTCTTCAATCCCATCAAAGACCTGAGAAGGAACACAATAATACCTGAAAAAACAAAAAAATGCAAGTAAGTAATTTCTTAAATTCTTTCGAGAATAGACAGAGACAGCTGGCAGCCTGGACAGTCATCTAAAGTTGCTCAGCATTGTTGGGGCATCCAATTTGGCTACAGGCCTAGAGTATCTGACAGACCATTTTTAAAAACAGGAATTTTGAAAGACCATCTTATCCTGTCTTGGCAAGTTTCAGTAGTCACTTTTCTTTGTGTCTTGCTTGTCCAGAAAAGACAGAATCCATACTGTCATCAGTGGAGGTAAGGGTAATTCTTTGCCCAGTAGGCCATTTTGTACCAAGAAGAAGACAAACTTCCAAACAGAGTGTCTTAGAAGCCCAACATTCTCTTGGGATCAAATTGGTGCTACCAGGAGCAATCATGTCTTATGTCAACAGAATTCTAAGCTAATAATACATTTAAATGTCACATTCTCTAGATCTATGGAGTGTTTGAAGATTACCTATCCATCTGACATATGTTTCTGTAAATCTGGAAAACCTAACTAATATAACTATAGAAATGACACGCAAGGATAACTATAAATCTGTAAATCTTATCTACCCAAATAACCTAAGGACAAAGGCTTCACATTAACAAGTTAAACAGTCTGTAAACAAATGTACAGTATAGGGACAATGACCTCAAAATTGTGACAATACACAAAATATCTTAAACAGAGTTAGAAATGTATAATGCAATATGCAATATGACAACAATATCCTTAATATGTATCATTATACAAAATATTATACAGAGATAGAACATACATATAGTATGACAAATATAATTTTACATTTGTATCAATATATAGAATATTTCAAATAGGAGTAGGAATATATATACAGTATGACAAATACAGTTTTGTATTTTATGAATATACAAATTATTTTAAATAAGAATATAAAAATAGTTTACATTTATATCAATGTACATAAATCTGTAACAGTGAAAATTGTCTAATGCTGACATTTTATTAAATTAGTTTACTAGTATATATAATAATCTATCTTAATATATTATACCTATCCATTTCCTTTTTTTCTTTTCTTAAGAGAATACTGAGTCTAATTTTGTTGTTCCAGCCCCCAATCCTAGAACCATTATCAATAACCCTGAGAAAATTGAAAGGTTTGGGAGAGGGAGGCATTGTTTTCTTAGACTTGCTTCCTGCTGTTTAGTGGGTGATGGTATTTCTGTGGGTTCCTGTAAGAAAGTTTATATAGTTAGGTCTCAATAGGACTAGCTGTAGAGTCTGAGGCCAATCTCAGAGTAATGGGTAAGGTTGTCTGAGATCCTGGCTAGAAGTGTAGTATGATGGACCATCTCATCTTAGGACTGTCCTGAAGAGTTTTCAATCCAAAGTTGATCATTGAATAATGTTCTTAGGCAAAATGACATCGTTCTGGACCAGGTAGAGTCGTTGTTGTGGGGACCCACCTTACTTCTGGAGATGTCAGAGATTGCTGTTGGAAAGACTTATTTTTCAATGTGGAAAACTTGAACATTATTAATAACAAAATAGAAAGTTTGGATTTATAATGAATCAAGAAAGGATTCCCAGAAATCAAGGATAAGCATGGAAAGAAATAGAATCTTGAAAACAATGGTCCCTAGATTATTGGTTTTCTTCTCTATCACATCAGTTTTCTCTTCCAATATGAGACAGAATCTCCTTATTTGTGTTTTAGAAATATGCTTGGGTTTAGAGAAGGAGAAAGCCACATTCCAACTCCAAAGACAGCTTGATTTATAATTGAATCAGGACCACAACTATTCTAGAGTTAGAAATATTGATGTTACATACTGAGATATTACCCTGTAGAGTAACAGGTCCTTCCTTTCTTCTATAGATGTCTAGGGGTCCAAGGTCTTATAATTTCTTGAAGATGGGTATTTCTATTATCCTATAAAGACAAAAAACAGAACCTTGCCTGTAGCATGAATCTTAAATGGTCTTAGTAAAAACAAACCCAGTGTCAGTTATTGGGGTGAACACTGGAAGATCAGAGAAGCAGAACAAGCCACAGCTACCTCACCTCATCAGTTCCTCAGCTGATCCTGTTTCTTCAGACTGGAAGCCTCTGAGTCTTTATTCAAATGAATCTCAGCTGAACTGTTTCTCGAAAGCCTGAATGATTAACCATTTCTAGTTCCTGGTTTTCACGCCTTATATACCTTTCTGCTTTCTGTCCTCTGTTGTGGGATGTTATGTATGGCAAATGTGTTAATAAATAAAACACTGATTGGCCAATAGTCAGACAGGAAATGTAGGTGGGACTAACAGAGAGGAGAATTGAGGGAACAGGAAGGAAAAGGAGAGACTGCCTATAGCCACCACTGCCAGGACAAGGAAGATGTAAGTTACCAGTAAGCCACAAGCCACGTGGCAAAGTATAGATTAATAGAAATAAGCTGAATATAAGAGTAAGAGCTAGACAATGATAGACCTGAGCCCTGAGCTAATGGCCAAGCAGTTTAAATAAGTGTCTGTATGTTTATTTTATAAGTGGATTATGGGACTGCCAGAGTTTGGCAGGGCCCGGAGAGAAAACTCCAGCTACAGCCCTCACTTCCTGGGATTAAAGGCTCACTTTCTGGGATTAAAGGCATGTGTCACCATGCCTGGCTATTTCCAATGTGGCCTTGAACTCACAGAGATCCAGATGGATTTGTGTCTCTGGAATGCTAGGATTAAAGGCATGAGTGCCACCATTTTCTAGTCTCTGTATCTAGTGGTTGTTCTTTTCTCTGACCCCAGATAAGTTTATTAGGGTGCACAATATTTTGGGGAACACAATACCCCCACACCTTCCCAGACCCTTGTTTGTTGAGTTTTTCTTAGAACTTGTAGAGTTGTCATCTAGGTGGATGAGATGTTTTTCCTCAGCAAGTGATTTCTCATTATCATTTTGAATCTATCAAATAGTAAAGCAATGAGTGGGAGGGACTCCCAAATCTCTCCTCCATCCTTGCAGACCAAATGCAGGTATTCACAGCTGCTATGAGTTCATGAATACAATGGCTATGTCTATCCCAGAAGAGGATTTTTCACAGCCCTTCCCTGTGTCTTTGGGCTTTTGGATTCTTTCCATTCCCTTTTCCACAATGCAATGTTCCTTGAGCCTTATTGAAGTCTTCTTTGGGGCTGTGTATTCATTTGCCTATTATTCTCAGCAGCTTGCTCTACTTACAGGAACAAGACACCTGCACTATTTATGAGAGCAAGAACAGTTTATATTCAGCATTTATATTTTCTGGACCAGGAAAAAAGATAAAATTCATTCAAACACCAACATGGGACCTGAACAAACTGTAGCAAGCCCTGGTGCAATCCCCTCCACTGTCATTAGCTGGTGAAAAATAGCTTTAATTTCTATTGCACTTATATATAATAAATCAACAAAATCCTAAAGGCAGCATCTTTATAATGTTGTTTACTTTCTATTTTAAAAATGGGGAAGGATTTGTAGACATTAAGATATTTAGGAAATCAAGTGAGGTAGTATCAGGCAATACAGTATGTGTAAGGACTATACATGTATAATAAATTATGAATAATTATCATAGTTAGCCTAAATATTAATGAATCTGATGACAAGAGAGAATTTTTCTCTTCACTAAGAAGACTTAAAACCCACAAACATCTTTCAAAATTGTCTCATGGGGGATTAGAAAGATTTAAAATATGAATGATTAATTTTAACTTAGAATATTTCTAAATGAATAAAATAAAAAAGTATAAAATTTCTTTCATGATATATTGTATTCCTCATTTAAATGAGACCATTACATGTTCTCTGGTTCACAAAGAAATTTCAAGTATTTCATCTATTTTTTAAAAAAAGTTAAAGTAAATAAATTAACAACATTTCATTTGAACATTTGAACGTTTATTTCCATTCTTATCATTTGTCTAATAATCTCACTATATTATAATATCTGTAACATTTATGATCTTCATAGTTCTAGAATATGCCTACATGATATCATTTAAAGAAAGTAGAATTTGTCAGTTACAGTGAAATAAACGTAAGCATATAATAATCTCCACTCCATCAGTATGTATTTCAAAGCCATAGAAAGATACCATTCAGATCTTTGATGGCAGAATAAAAGTGGACTTTGAGGAGAATCTATCCTACGCCAGCATTTGTGCAGGTTAAATAGATCACTGTATTTAGTTTTATAAAATTCAAATTGGAGAAACGGAGTTTGAAGTTTTTGTTTTTTTTTTCAAATTAAGACAAATACAAATATATGCATCAATTGTAACTGTGCTCCACAACTCTGCATTTTAATTGATTGTGGTTTTCTGTAATGGCCTCTGTCTGTTACATGAGAAGCTTCCTTGACAAGGAGTGAGAATTACACTTAGTTGTGGGTATAACGATGAATATTCAGAATGCAGTTAGGGATTATATTGGTGTATTAAAATGTTGTAACTTCTGCATCTAAGGCTCAGGGATCATTGTGGAAGAGAGGATAGAAAGCCTGTAAGAGCCAGAAGGACAGGGACTTTTCTGTAAGTTTATGTGTCCTAGGAATGTGAGAGTCTATATCCATAAAAATCTCACAAATACTATAGCCTAAACATGAGAATAATACTACACATGCTGTCATGAAAAGAGATTATCTCCAGGCTTCAACCCTAGACAAAAACTGCAGGCAAATTAGGAATGCTGAGAGTGAAAGAAATAGTCTCTAGAGAAGAGAACATAAATTGGTTATCTAAAACCAAAAGGTATGAGAAAACATGCGTGCCAGGAACATTATACACACTGAGCAGCTTCTATTTCTCTATTCGGGAATATGTATACAGAGACATATATGTATGTAAAAACAACTAATGGAAAAGAAGCAATGAAATTGAAAGAGTAGGAAAGGTTTTATGCAGGGTTTGGAAGGAGGAATGAGGGGGATATGATGTAGTTGTATTATAATCTCATAAATAAGAGAAATATTTTTAAACGTGCATAAATAAAAAGAAAAATATCAATTTTGACATCACTTGAACAGAAAAATACAGCTTGAGGAAATTATAGAAGGCTTGGTGGGGACTCTGAGGAAGCAAGACTATGGTCATACTTGGGAGCAGTCCAATGTGACATCCCTGCTGCCAGACACTGAATGTCACTATTGATGTCACTGCCACAATATGTTGCATGTCACTACAAATATCAAACATAGTTCTGCTTTTCTCTTCCAGAATCTTTCAAAATTCAAAGTATAAATTAAAGTGAAGCACAAACCAGTTTACATTATATATTTTCAGTCTTGGTGTCAAGATTCAGGAAGGAAAATACTTGCCCTCATCCTTTATACTCAGATTCTTTCTCTCTCTCTCTCTCTCTCTCTCTCTCTCTCTCTCTCTCTCTCTCTCTCTCTCTCTCTCTCTCTCTCTCACTGTTTTAAATTGAGCTAATTCTACAGCCCTGTTATCTTCGTATCTTTGTTTTGAACATAAAAATAAATCTAACTATTGCAAATTAATTAACTTTAAATTG